TAAAAAAAAAAAAAAAAAAAAAAAAAACAAAGAAAAATTAGCCAGTGTGGTGGCAGGTGTCTGTAATCCCAGCTACTCAGGAGGCTGAGGCAGGAGAATCATTTGAACCCAGGAGGTGGAGGTTGCAGTGAACTGAGATTGTGCCACTGTACTCCAGCCTGGGCAACAAGAGGGAAACTCCATCTCAAAAAAAAAAAAAAGAAAAAAAAAAGAAAAAAGAAAAAAATTCTTAACATGAACAAAAATCTGCGACAAAATATTGGCAAATCAAATCCAGTAATATATACAAAGGACAATAAATCATGACAATACGAGGGTTTATTCTGGGCATGCAAAATTGGATGAACATTTCAAAATCAGTAAGTATAAATCATCACACTGACAGATTAAAAATAAAAATATATAATCCTCTCAATAGATCCAGTTAAGAATCAAACAAAACTCAACACACTCATAAAAAAAATTCTCAGCAAACTAAAAATGAAAAAAATGCTCATGAAAATAAAGGTCATCTACAAAAGAATCCTATATATAAAAACTGAAGCTTGCCCTCTAAATTTGGAAACAACACAAAGATGGCTGCTCTCATAACTTCTACAGAACATGGTACTGGAGGTCCAAAAGAGTGAAATGGACAGTAAAAAGTGATTAAAGTTATGAAATTTAGAAAGGAAGAAGTAAAAATCTGTTTTATTATGGTGACACAATCAAGCATATGGAAAATCCTAAGAAACTAAACAAACACACACCACTCAAGTTCAAAAGGTCAACATCAATACATAAAAATCAATTAATAGCATTTTCAATGAACAACTGGAAAATGAAAATTTAAAAAGTACTATTACAGGCCGGGTGTGGTGGCTCATGACTGTAATCCCAGCACTGTGGGAGGGAGGCTGAGGCAGTTGGATCATCTGAGGTCAGGAGTTCGAGACAAGCCTGGTCAACATGGAGAAATCCCGTCTCTATAAAACTATAAAAATTAGCCAGGTGTGGTAGTGGGGACCTGTAATCCCAGGTATTCTGGAGGCTGAGGCAGGAGAATCACTTGAACTCGGAAGGTGGAGACTGCAGTGAGTCGAGATCACTCCACTGTATTGCAGCCTGAGTGACAGAGAGACTCTGTCTCAAAAAATAAATTAAAAAATAAAAAGTACTATTACAATAGCATCAAAAACAAAACATTTAGGCATACATTTAACAATATGTATGCAAGACCTGTACAATCAAATCTAAAAGAAAAAATGCTGAAAAACGTTAAGATCTAAATAAATGGAGAGATACATTATGTCCACGGATTGGAAAACTCAGTATTGTAAAGATTTCAACTTTCCCCAGACTGATTTATAAATTAAATACAATCAAAATATCAGCAGACTTTTATGTAGAAATGGACAAGCTGATACTACAATCTATGTGAAAAAGAAATACGACTCCTAAAATAGTTGAATCAATCTTCAAAAAGAAAAAAGGGGGAAGACATACAGTATTTGATTTCATGACTTACTTTAAACTTTAAAACTATGTTAACCAGGATAAAGTGGTACTGGACTAAAGACAGATAAACAGATGAACAGAGAAGGGAATGCAGAAATAGATCTATATTCATAGAATTAATTTTTGGGCTGTTTTCAGAACAATTCAACAAAAAAAAGGAAAGATTTTTCAATATGATGTGAGAACAACTGGTTATCTACATGGAAAAAGAAAACACTAAACATTAACCCAATACTTTAGAGTATGAAAAAAAAAACCAAAAACAAAAAACTGGATCATAGGCCTAACTCTGAAAGAAAAATCGACCAATCTTCCAGAAGAAAACACAGAAGGATATCTTTCTAACCTTAATACCTTTCTAACTTTAGGCAGAGATTGCTAATACTGAATTTAGAAACCACTAAGCATAGAAGAAACTGATAAAATAAATGCCATCAAAGTTTTAAAGATCCTGTTTAAAAGAAAATGAATTCACAAACTGGGTGATAATATTAACAACTCATACATCTGACACAGGAGTTTTATTTGAGATACATAGTATCTGTGTGTATATCCTAACATACATTAAATTTAAAAACAAATGACCCAATAACAAAACTGAGCTAAAAATTTTAACAGATACTTCACAAAAAGATCTATTAGTTAATGACCAATAAGGCCATGAAAAATTGTTCACATCATTAGTATCCAAGAAATGCAAATTTAAAATACAATGTAATAACACTACACATCCATTAGTATGGCTAAAATTGGAAAGTTTGACAGTTCCAAAAGTTGGTGAGGAAATAGAGTGCCTGGAATTTGTGTACATTGCTAGAGGACAGGTAAAATGGTACAACCTCTTTCGAAATTGGTGTGGCAGTTTCTCATAAAGTTAAACAGACACCTTGCCTTAGTCCTTATCATGCTCTTATTATAAAACAATGGGCCGGGCATGGTGGCTCACGCCTGTAATCCCAGCACTTTGGGAAGCCTAGGCAGGAGGATCACCTGAGGTCAGGAGTTCAAGACCAGCCTGGCCAACATGGTGAAATCCTGTCTCTAGCAAAAATACAAAAATTAGCCAGGCATGGTGGCACATGCCCGTAATCCCAGCTACTTGGGAGGCTGAGGCAGAAGAATCACTTGAACCCAGGAGGCAATGATTGCAGTGAACTGAGATATGCCACTGTACTTCAGCCTAGGTGACAAGAGCACAACTCTGTCTCAAAAATAAAAAATAAATAAAAATAAATACGTTAAAAAAAAAAAAACCTGCCTCCTCTGTAATACTTAGCTTTAACTGACTATAATGAAATTTTGCTGTCAATAAGACCTATACCAGTGTCTTTCTCTCATTCCCAGTGTTAGTCTTTTCTTGACGTCCTTTTCAGGAAGTACATAGAATGCTTTGTTAATAAATTTAGAGTAGGCCCATACATGTAACGTATGAATGTGAACTCAGATATAACCTCTGAATTTCAGCATTAGTTGGCCCAGAATAGAAGCCAAGTGAAGAAAACCACAGCTCCTCTGCTACCAATGGACGTGCACAGGTAGGGCTAAAAGGTGACTGTGTATCAGCTTTCAGCACAGATCATCTGGTTGACAGGGTCCACCTGTCACCTCACATTCCTGACGCTGTCCTTATTACAGCATTTAGAGCAGGGGCTTCTGTAAAAGGGGAGCTACTCCAGTAGCTCTGGGAGGCAAACTTGTGCTTCACTCCTACATTACACATTGCTTTGATTGTTTTGATCCTATTCATTTGACAGTAAGTTATTAATTTATGTCACCTTCCAAAATTATTCCCCAGGATACATCCCTCAGAAGACAATCCCAACAAAAAGCTCCATGTCAAATACATATGAAAACATCCTGCCACTATAATCCAATTTCCTGCAGATATTCCTGTCAAATGTTCACATATTAAATACTTGAATGGGTCCTAACTAAAGTAACTTGATTTTGTTTAATCCAGACATGAATGATACTTATTTGACGATAAAAAGCCTTTGTCAAATAATACTTATGAAAATCTTATGGAAATAATGAGTTAATATTTATTGAGCATTTTATATTAGGTATATATGCCAATAACTGTGCTGAGCACTTTAAAACAACCTTATGAGGTAGTGGTATTATTGTGTCTACTTTAAATATAAGGAAATTGAAGCTCAGAGAGATTTACTTTTCACAGAATTAGGATGTGCAGAAACCAGAATTTCAACACAGGTGGTCTGACTCTAGAGTATCATAACACATTGCAGGACAATACTGATTCTTAGCAGTGTTCCCGAGAACTCAATTTGGGAAACTGCCTTACATCATGTACTTCAGTCTTTCCTTTTCACACTGGCTTCGGAGGAGCAGAAGCAATGAATTACCCTGAATTGATCCACTAAGACTTCATATGAGGCATATACATTTCAGGCCTTTGCTATATAGTTTTTAAATTGTAATGAAAGTTTGAGGTGAATCCTGTTTTTCATCAGCTTTAAAAAAGCATTAAGTCTCACTGTAAAATGTAACAATTATGTGCTATTTTATTCACTTTTGAATAAATATTACACCCTCTATACACCACAAGCCAGGATGATTCTGAATGACCTGATTGCATGTGTGATAACTCATCACTACTTTTCTCAAGACCATTGAAAACATCCTTCAAGGGATTTTCTGGGATTCTATGTTAGGTGAGAGACACAAAGAAAATTTTAGACACAGTCTGTTTTAGGAGCAGCACTTCTCACAAGAAGGCTTTATAATTTTCATTTATTGTAGAATAATATAGTACTACCAACATACAAATCATGTTCATATCATTTAAAATCATAATTTAAGTGATTTTCATTTTAGCAATTGTGGCTACTGGTATATTATAAACCTGCTTAAATACTGATACATAGTGTTTAAAATGATGTTATAATTATGTATTTTTTTCTGAAAATAAGCATTTAATACCTTCATTCACTGCATACAATTAGATGGCTGCTATTAAAAATGTTTTACAACTACAGATAATACTTCTAATAATGTTAAAAGATATATAATTCTCTTTCTGTTATTTGTTCAGGAAAAATTCCAAAAGTATTAGGTCAGATGATGAAAACTTTTTTATGACTCTTGAACTCTACCATGAATGATTTTTAAAAGGGTCTTAATAATTCACCAACAATATGTGGCTCTACCAGTTTTTTCTATCTTTGGTAGCTTTGAATACTTTTTTTGTTTTTAATTTTTCATAATTGTACAGACACAAAATTGTGTCTCATTGTAATCATGTCGATTTTTTTAGCTACATTTGGGCATTACGGTACTAACAATTTCAGAAACAGTATCTTGAGTATCTTTATATAGATGAAAACTTTCATATTTTTCATGTAAGTTTGATTCATTACTGTGGGTTAGATGCCGTCGGGCTAGGCGCTGGAGCTCTCTTGTTCTCAAGCTCTCCTTTTGTCCTTATTCACCCCAAAGTTACATTTGGAGTTGAGAGATTCATCACTGACTGCATCTATTACCTTTCTGCTTCACCGTGGCTGCTTTGGCAACTTCGCCTTTGGCACTTCTAGCATGACAGACATAGCTGCGCTTGAGATCCTCAGAGGTAACTTTCTTGATGCTCAAAATCTGAGTTCTTGTTTCATCTTCCGTTCTACTGTGACTTATACTAGAAATAGAGGGAAGCAAATCAAAGCATTTGAGAGTGACTCAAGCACTATGGACTGTGTATGACAAGTAAGCAACCACAGAACCCCACTACAGGTGAGGGCAAGGAAGGTTGATAAGCTGAGCTACCTACAATGCAGCGATTACAAAGTATTAACGGTAAGATTCTAATACTATACTATACCATCTACACTACACACTATGCCATTGTCTAGACTAAATCCCAACACCGGCTTCTTTTTATAGATCTCTCTTCAAAACGAAATGTCTCTTTTGCGTAGATCTCTGAGCCAGAATGCTGTATCAGTTTAGAGAGAAGCTTCTGGGGCCAGGTGCTTTTGGGTTTTTATCCAGGATTTGTCCATTTCTGGCTATATACTTCGGGTGAGATAACTAACTTTTTCCAGGTCTTAGGTTCCTCTTTTGGAAAAGAGGGAAGTCGTAATGCCCACACAGTGCATTACATGTATTAATTTATTCAGGAATTCTGAGGACTGAATACGCCAAGGCATGAATATAAGAATAATGCTTGATAAATATTCATGTAGGTATTATTGTTATCCCATAGGAATAGTCAATGCATTTCAGTGATTCCCAAAGCATGGATTCTGAACACAGCTAGAATATTGTGGTCAGAAATCTGAAATCTCGTGGTTAAATCCTAACATATAAAAAGAGGAAGCTGTTATGAACAAGTAAACTTTGTAAAAACAAATATATCCAACTGTCAGTGAATCGGAGATCAAGTGCTTTGGGTCTAAGATCAAAATTTAAAATCCCTTTGAACTCCTTTGCTCATCGCAGAGAAAAATCTCTCTGCTACAGCTAACTGCTATCTAGGTTCTCTTTTTAACTAGGCTTACTGTCAGGTATGAGAATTTGGTTAAGGGCTCTGATTGGTTTAGCTTAAGCTTAACTCTACTGCTACCTATGAACACTGAGTACGTTTCAATAGCAGCAAGGTGGAACAACATGACTTTCTTTATTATTTATTCAGTATTATTATGAGGATGGGATGCAAAGTGTTAACAATTCCTAAAAAGATCAGTGATTCTCCCTGTGAGCCTCCAGCCACATTACTTTGTCATGTAGCTGACCAGCTGCAAAGTTTTAACTGGTGCAGTGAGCCAACTGCTGTTTGGTAATGGTGTGCTTCATTTGCAGTGGAACCTTCTGTCTTCAAGCACTCACACTTTCCACTTTGCCAATGCCTTAAAAAATCAGGTTTATTTAGGAATAAAATGTTATTTTATTTTAAAAGTGAATTATCTTACTACCCATCTACCTTTAAAATAAAATGTAAATTATACAAATATATTTAGTTAATATTAAAAATTACTAATTATAAATATAACTATAGGTTATGTGAGTTAAGAAAGAGGAGAGAGGAAACGCATGCTCACTGCAATGCAAAAAAACAAAACCTAATTACCTAAGGCACAAATACATAGGGCCAGACACTAGGATTGAGAAAAGGAAAAACACAACTACACTGACAGGTTTCCACATACCCACAACCCTCGATCGTGGCCTTTTTATGGATGTAAGATATGTATTCCCTCTACTTCCATGTGGGTATCATAAATGTGTGAATCTTGCTGGGCTTAAGACAATAGGGTGCATGTCCTATGGACAATCTGATGAAGATGCTCAGCCTCAGAACATTCTAATTCAGTTCTCTACTGGTCATCAGGCAGCATCTGTTCCTCACATTGCTAGTCCAGTAACCCTGTTTCGGGATGCAGCCACCAAAGATTTGAAAATCTTGCCGATTTTTGTGATGGGAAAAATAAGAATTTTCATTTTCGTTGACTAGAACACACATCAGAGATCAGTAAGTTGAGAAAAAAAAGTAAGTCACTCCCTTGCTGGCCCCCATGATACCTTTCATTAATGGTGACATCAATAGGGATGTCATCAGGTTTTTTTCCATCAATGGTCCACCAAACCTCATTGCGAGAATCCATCAGAAAACTAAAATAGACTGTACAGGGGATGAGTAGCTCCTCTCCTGAAAAAAAAAAAAGAAAAAAAAGAAAGAAAGAAAGAAAAGAAAAACAAAGAGGAAGGTAACCCATTAGTGTTTATCCTTCACATGGCTATATTGGTTCCACTCTCTGGCTAATCAGAAGCTACGAGTTATGTGTACCTGAAACCCTGCTTATGAGTAATTCTCTAGTCGACTCCCATAAGGTACTGTACCATACTTCATTCCAAAACAAACAAGCAAAACCAAATAAAGAAGCCCATTAACTTTGTATAAAATTACCAGAGTGACCGTTTTTAATATAAATATATTCTAAAATGATGATATTTGTTTAAAAAGTCACCGACAAGGCTAGGCATAGTGGCTCACACCCGTAATTCCAGCACTTTGGGAGGCTAAGGCAGGTGGATCACCTGAGGTCAGGAGTTCAAGACCAGCCTGGCCAATATGGTGAAACCTTGTCTCTACTAAAAATACAAAAATTAGCCAGGCGTGGTAGCACACACCTGTAATCCCAGCTACTCGGGAGGCTGAGGTAGGAGAATTGCTTGAACCCAGGAGGTGGAGGTTGCAGTGAGCCAAGAATGTGCCACTGCACTCTAGCCTGGGCAACAGAGTGAGACTCCATCTCAAAAAAAAAAAAAAAAAAAAAGTCTCTGACAATATTCTTTTTAGCCCTAGACCTCCATAGACTGCTCTTCTCCTTTGTTATTTTCCTCAAGAAGGGTGACTAAGGATAGGTTCTCCATATCTTCAGCCCTTGACCAGGAAAGATGAGGAAATACCATCACAGAGAGATCTGGCTGACGAGGCCCACCTTGAAATTCTCCAGCTATCAGGGTGCATTCAATAAATTTTAAGATAACTTAAAAATAGAAAACTCTATGCTATCCGTCTGAGATGGAACATGAGGTTAGGGAGATCCCTAGGCAGAAAACAGTAGTAACAGCAGCAGCAGCAACGTACTTACTAAGAACTTTGCACAAGTTATTGTGCTAAATATTTATATTTATTAATGGTCTTATTTAATCTTATGAAAGCACTATGAGGTATTTTTTAAAATCGATGTTTTCCAAATGTAAAAGTTGAAGCTTAAGGATGCTTAAGGATTCCTAGGTTAAATCATTAAGTGAAGGGCCAGGATTTGACCTAGACTGACCTTACATCCCAGTTTGCCTAGAACAGTTCTGTTTTATGCCTGCTTTACTGGTTACCTATATTAATAGGTAGTTGCTATGTTTACTCCCAGAAAGTGTCCTAGTTTAGATGATGAATTATATCGCCACCCTAATTTGAACTTAGGCTTATCTGACTGAGTGGCCATACTCTATCTACCCTCCCAATGCAATGTCCTTAAGTTTTTTTCCTCCAGTTTTCCATATCTGTACGTCACTAAGAAAGATAAAGGGAACATGGATTCAACAATCGTTCTGTCAGCATAGTTTGATAGGTAGACAAATATATTTATGTTATTAATTAGGGTATACCCTGGCAGCAGGAAGAGTATTCACATGACTATATAAGCCATAGCTAATTCTAGGAAATTCAGCCTCTTGCCGTGTTCTCTGTGCTTCACAAAGCAAGTCATATTTCAAACTTCTCTTGATTTTTTTTTGGCATTGTTCTCCATCTATGTTGATCATTATTATCTTTTTTTAGAGTAAAATCAAATTTCTATGTCAACATATATAACATACAAGATCAATTGTATCTTTATTATTGTTTGTTGCTATAAATTTATTCATACCAGGAAAAATGTCATATTTAAAATTCTCAAAATAGTTTTGGCACAGGTCAAATCTCATTTGGTTAAGTCCTGAACTCTTTTAATTTGTTTTTTTTTGCATCAGCCTCTTCCCCAGCCACCCCGGCCCCCTTGCTCCAGAATGCTTTGCTGCCTGCCTTGATGCCACAGCTACTTTTACTCCTACTCATGTTAATTCTAGATAAACATAAGCATTTAATGTGACAGCCTTTCTACCCAATTGTGCTCTGCAGAAATCATGCAGCTCTTCTGCATGAAGACTTAGCATCCCTACCCCAAAGAGGACTCCATACAATTTTTCTGATGCTTATTGGCAAGAGGAACCAAATAGAAATAATCAGAAGGATGCACAAAATGTACCCTAAGATTGCTTATAATGGTCAGTATTTTAAGGTCTATAAAGCTTTATGCATCCGTGTTCATCCAAATACTGGATGGCAAAGAGTTCCACATCCATGTTCCACATCCGTGTTAACTTACTGGCAAACCAATGGTGCTTGTGCATCATCCAGTTCAAGTCGCCAGCTGCAAAAATGCACAGCGAGCACATGAGGACCCCACTACCGTGTGGGTAGGGAGCACCCTCAGAAACATCACCCTCAAGTTACTGCCACTTGACCAGCCTAGCAACTGCAGGCATGTCAGACAGGTTGTAGTTATGGCTTAAGGAAAGTGAGCTGAAGACTTCAAAGATCCTTTAGATAGGGCCCAGAGATACTCATCGGGGCTATATGTGTCTTGCACCCCCTCCATAAACTTTTTGATTTTTTTCATTCTCTGATACATATCCTACATACTCCCTACCAACCACAGAATAGGCACTGCCGGAAACAAGAGGTGTTTCAAGTGGAGGATGCATTTTGACAATTCCTGTGTTTGCCAGCTTTCCATTGACAACTACATACCTCTTTTTCCACTGAATGGCATCCTCTCAGTTGTTTTCACCCATTAACAACTGACTATTATCTTTAGCACATTTTAAACAGATGCTCTTTTATACCTCTGTGAAAGTTGTCAGAGTCAAAATGGAGTCACTTGTGCCACACTCTTAACGAAAAACGGTTGGGAGGTTATATAAAAGGGCCCTCACACACACATGCCTATTATAAAAACTAGTATAAGGACTCTGATCACCACTATCTTGCACAAAGGACAGCATGATTCTTACACAAATAATATTTCTGTGAGGAGGTCTGACCACCAATTGCCAGTCAAGCTTGTACTGATGTTACCCTGTTACTGATTCTTATAACCAAGGATAATTATTTCAAAACAACTTATGTAACCTTCCTCACTTTGTCTTTCAAAACTGTTATGTTCCTATGTTTTCTGGGTATGACTATGGTCCCCGCATGGGATGCCATAGCACTCATATTCCTGGATTGCTATCTGCAATTCATTCCTGAATAAATCCTTTTCTTTTTGGAGAGCTATTCTCTTTGTTGTTATTTAGGTTAAAACTTCTTATTGGGTTTGGACTGAATTTATTATAAGTGATACAACAATACAACATAGAAAATGTTAAAAATTTTCTATAGCTTCCTATTCACTTAATCGTGGGAGACTTTGAGTCAAAAGAGCAACACGTTATCCCTTATTTGGTCAGTTATCAATGATTTTTGTCTATAGCGAAAAATTATGAAAACTAAAAGAAGAACCAAAGAGCCACAGTAAGCATTCAATAGTATTCTGCATCAAGGTCCACTAGTTTTATCAGTTGTTACCTATTATATCCACGATCTTGCCTTCAAGATCCACCACTGACCTTTCATAATGGAGTGGGAGCTTGAAGGATGTCTAAATCTTCTGCTCATGTTGCAGCCTTGGTAAACCAAAGCCCTGTACAAGCTAAAGTTTGCATCAAACAGAAATCACTAATCAGCAGAGGAAGATGGCTAGCAGAGGGAGAAGGGAGCAGATACCGAGAGTGAAGCAAAACATTCTTGAGTTGCCCATGGCATCAGTGAAGTAACTGATATCCAGAGCTGCCTTGGTTTCTGACATTTCAGTTTCAATTCATGTGGTTCTTTACAACAGTGGTCTATTTTCTTGCATTAACTTAAATGACACTTTATTCCTTATAATTAAGAGAATCTAAGTGAAATTCAGAGACAGAGCTGTAATTACCTGGTTCTTTCTCATAGACCACATGATCATTAGGTGAATGGATCACAGGGGGCACTGCATTTTTTGGAGAGCCTGTGTTAGAGGAAGTAAAAAAGGGAGATGATGTTAAATCACGTAGCCTTATTTTAAAATCTGCTCTTCTTTGAACCTTGCCTAACTTCCTGGCATAGTCTGTTGGTTGTTTTAGAGAAGGCCTACAGTCCAAGATATACTCAATTACTGCACTTCATTCATTTAAAACAAGCAAAGCATAAAATAAAGGAAATACAGATTTGATGTCTGCTCCCAGTTCTTGACATGGGCTCCTAAATCCCTTGTGATTTCCTGTGTGATAGGGGTAATAGGAGCATCTTTTGTTTTAACATTGTTCTAGTCCCAAATTCCTAACACAAGAGCTTCTAAGACCTTTGGAATCTCTGGAGTAATGGGTGGATTTTACATGCTAATGAAATGATTGGTGGCTAGGGTTCCTATATAGCTTCTGGATGAGAGCTAGTAGCCAGAAATACCACAGATGATTAACACAATCTCCAGCCTCTCACCCATCTCTGGAAGTTTGGGAGTGTGACTGAAATTTCCAGTCCTTTTACTCAATAACGCCTGTGTGACAGAATCTCCATTAAAAACCCTAAACAATCAGGTTTGGAGAGTTTCTGGGTTGGTAAGGACATCCAGAAGCTGGGAGGGTAGACCTCTGAACCCAGGACCCTTCCAGACCTCACCCTATGTATCTCTTCATCTGGATGCTCATTTGAATCCTTTATAATATCTTCTATAATAACCAAGTAAGGGAAAGTAAAAGGTTTTCCTGAGTTTTGTGAGCAGTTATACCAAATCACAGAACCTGAGGAAGAAGTAGTAGGAATCTTCAGTTTGTAGCCAACTCAGGGAGAATTGTGGGTAACCTGGAACCTACTGCTTGCGATTGGAATCTAAAGTAGGGGGTGGGGCAGTCTTTTAGGAAGGAGTCCGTCACCTGTGGGGTCTGTGCTAACTCTGGACAACTGGTGTCAAACTGAGTTAAACTGTACGACATGCAGTTAATGTCCTCAGAAAAGGTGAGAATTACTTGGTGTGGAAAAGCCACACCTTTAGTGACAAAAGTGTTTTGAGCATAGAAAAAAATAGTTTTCACTTTACAAAGAAACAAATAAAACATACTAAATACCCTCCATGCTTCAGGTCAGTTTGCTTAACAAAGCTTTCCAAAGCTTACATGAGATAGATGATGTCTTATGTTACATAATACCTAATTGCTTTCATGCCTTAATCAGTTGTTTCTTCTCTCTGTATTTCTTCACAACATTACCCAAACTGTCTAGTATGCAACCTGGTTAAATAAGTATTACATTAATGAGTAAATACATGGAGAATTCACAATCATGATGTGAAGGCCGGCACATTAGCCTACTTGATGATGAGTTATCAGTTGAATGTTTGTTTATGAGATTGCTGCTCTTTATAATAGTCAATACTCCTAAATTTTAAAAAAATAATACATTGAATAGAGTTGTTAGTGTTGTCTTCAAAAGTATGAGCTCCAAAGATTTAATAACCAAGTTCTAATCCTGATTTGGCCATATATTAACCATATAAATATGCGAAAGCAAAGTTACTTGGTTTTTCCTAATTTTTGAAAAGCTAATTTTTCATAACTCTAAAATGAGGATAATTAAATCTCATATCACAGTTTCAATATGAGAAATAAACTAAGTAATATATATTAAGGATATGCTACTAGCATAATAAATGCTCAATACTTTGAAGCTTTAAAACAACAAACTTGTGTTGCTTGAAATTTGAGAAAGAAACCCCCAGTGCCCAGATCCAGCTGTGAATTTTTAAATCTGTTAATCAGGGTGTCCAAGTTTGCTTATTCCCAACTCCCCCAAAATGCATACTTTTAAGTACATATATTAGAAACAACTGCCAAGATGAATATACGATTGCATTATTCACTTGACTTCTAAAATTTAGTCTGTTTTTTTCTTATGAATTAATTCCCAACTCAGCATTATTTAGAAAGTAAGCAGAAAAAGAAGAGAAGTGATTACAATATTGTTTGAATACTACTTGCACTACATGAAAGCCTTTTTGTTGCTAACTTACACTAAATCATGTCAGACCAGTAGAAAAAGCCCTGAGCAGAGACCTGGGATTTAGATTTACTTCTTCCAGTAACTCACTAAGTGTCTCTAAACAGGTTACTTCCTGTCAGTGAGCCTAATATTTCCATCTATTAAAAGATGGGGTATGACAAAATAATACCCAAATATGCTATCTTTCTTAATATGGTGGACACAGTGGTATTTAGGGGTCATCCCCAAAAGCCATATATCCTGACACTACTTCTCTATTTCTGGGTTTGCTAGGAGTTTGTCAACTCTTAAGAATTGCCCTTTCCACTTTCCTCGTTTCTCATCCCCTATTCTCTTAGTGCAAAATAATGGTTGAACATTGTTGCCAGCAAATACCTTCAGCAGTAGCTACAGCAGTTTCAGTATATATAAAAGTAGAGTTTACTTAATCCAAATAAAATACTCTTTTGACAAAAGTGTTGCACTGATTCTCCATTGCTTGCCTGAAACTGCATTAATACAATATGAATATTTTTAAAAATATTCTCAATCAATTTTAGTTCCAGAGTACAGATAAAGACACAGGCCTTGTTCAAAGTCATGTTTCTAATAAGTGGCAGTGACAGAATTTGAACGCAGATCTGTCTGGTGCTCCTTTCCCTCCCCAAACTACCTTTACTTCATTCATTCATTCACATATTCATTCAGTTGACCAATAATTACTGAATGCTTACGATGTACATGGAATTGTTGAAAGTTCTAGAGACAGTGCTGTAAACAAAAAACATGAATCTCTTTTCTTATACAATTTACATACCAATGTGTAATAAACTATTAAAAACCATAACAGCATTATCACATGCTTGTTGTGTGTACTGGATACTAATCACGCTTACCTACTACCTTTACAGTCAGAGTCCTGGTGAGATGAAACGTACGTCCATTTTCTGGATATGTAACAACACATGTGTAATTTCCATTATTTGAAATAAAGGCAATGAGGAAACTCAAGTTCATACCTTCAGGTATTACATTATTAAAATTCTGTATTTTATAACAGCCCTAGAAAAAGTAAAAAAAAAAAAAAGTTTACTTTTTAGATACATACATAGAAAATACACAAACACATGCACACTCACATCTAATTTTGCACAGAACACCTAAATATTCATGCTGCAGTTTTTATAATATTATTTTGGTCAAGTATTTGACCAGATTTCTGTGAAGAATAAATGAAACATCTCATTATCTTTTCTGATCATGAGAAATTAAAATTCTAAACTAAGATGTGACTTCAAAAACACAGGCTTCCTGTCTCAGGATCAAATTCTGGGCATCCTATGTTGATAGTAAAGCAAAGTTACAGTTTTGAAATAATGACTAAGGAAACTTGAGCAACTGCAAGACCTGCTATTTAGAAAGCAATTCTTTTTCTTTCTGTAATATTTCTTCACTGATTATATTAATTTGAGAATCTAGTCATTCTGTCTGATAATCTAGGCCCCAATTTAGATGTCTGATTTTGGCATTTTTAAACGCCCTATTGTTTCCCTGTATCAGATATTTCCAGACTGTTTTGTATTTTTCTTTTACTGTATCCCATTTTTTTTTTTTTTTTTTTTTTTTTTTTGAGATGGGGTCTCATCACTCTGTCACCCAGGATGGAGTGCAGTGGCGTAATCTCAGCTCATTGCAACCTCTGCCTCCTGGGTTCAAGCAATTCTCCTGCCTCTGTCTCCTGAGTAGTTGGGGCTAGAGGTGCATGCCACCATGCGTGGCTAATTTTTGTAATTTTGGTAGAGATGGGGTTTCACCATGCTGTCCAGGCCGGTCTCAGACTCCTGACCTCATGATCCGCCCGCCTTGGCCTCCCAAAGTGCTGGGATTTCAGGCATGAGCCTCCATCTTTATCCCATTTTCATAACTGAGTATCACAGATTTCAGGAACTAAAAATAAAATATCTTTATGGGCCTGATCAAGATCGAGGAATGTATTTCTGCTCCTAATTCACATTTTCATATAACTGTTGACATTTAAAATTGAGAAATTGAACTATCTCATTCAACAACTATCTAATTCAATATATCTAGAATCCTGTTTCAAATGATCAGTCTCACTATTTGGCTAAATTGTTACTTTTTACCATTTTTGAGAAAAAGAATCAATACACTATCTGTGACAAAAATATATGTTGAACATTTACTTTCAGAAAAGCTTTTGTTTTTCTTTTAAATATTAGTAAGTCACCTATGACAAAAAGATTAGGTTATCTCTAAGGCTTTTTCCATCTTTAAATTTCTGGGAGTCTACTAGTAGCTTGTAACTTCAATTTTTTTTATTCACATATTTCATCTTGAACGTTTGTATGGGTAAGGTTTTCTTCAATTCCTGGAGCATGTATTTTGAAATATGACAGTTACACTGAGGCACATTTTGTAATGCTTTGTCATAGGAAATGTGTATTTTAAGAACAGCATTGAACTTCCATTTCATGGAAAAGATCATCAAGAGGAAGCTACTACAAGCTCAGGTAACGTAGTTTTTCAACGCAGCTTCTCCTGTAAGATAAGCAATACTTCTAGACACTTGTCACATCAGCGAATGATATCAATATCCTTAGGTTATCACAAAGGATAAGGTCTCAAAGGTCTGTATTCTTATAAGTTTATGTCAGATTTGGTTTGAATTGAGTTTACAGTATCAATAGAACTATTTTATTTTTGTGGTACTTTTCATTTAAAAAGTTCAAAGGTATTTCCCCCTCATTTGTTAGCTTAGCTGTTCTCAAATCCCTGGGAACTAGACAGATCAGGCTAAATATACTGTAATTTTATAGATGGAAAAAACGAGACAGAGATACTCTAGATAACACAGTAGAGAGCTGAAATTCAGTTTTCCAGAAAGTTGAATAATGATCTTTCATTAGCTTCTTAACTAAGAATGAAAACCTTTCCTCAGCAGAGAGTTGAGGCTATAAAAATTATACTGAGACATGCACTTAACATATACTGTCTCATCTGATCCTTATTGCAAACACGTAAAGTTTGTAATGCTTTTACCTCCATTTTATAGATGAATGAACAAGGCCTAGAAAAGTTAAGTAACTGTCAATGTCATACCACTAAACAGTGCTAAAGCTGGAATTTGAATTCAGATCTACTTGTTTCAAAGTCCTTGCTTTAAATTTCACCTGATACTGTCTCTTCATTCTATATAGTAGCCCTGAACCTGTGCCATCCCCGGAGCCAGCCCGAGTGAAAAGCGCGATGTGCCTCTATCATTTAAAACACGCTAATTCCTGCAATCAGTGGTAAACTGAAGAAGCACACTTTTGAGGATGAGAAGTCAATTATTATTACTGAACTTGTCAACAGTATTTCTTTAAGAATGTGATGAAAGAAACTTTTTCATAGCTGTTTCAAAGCTATTAGGCCTAAAACATTTTAGAAATAAAGGGAATATTTTATATTCTAATATGTGTGTGAAGGTAATTCAGGGCATTGTCACACTACAAATGTCTACTAACATTAACCTGTTGTGTGTCTGGTTAGCTCTCTCTGATCAGCAACTCTCTGTCTAGACCCTTCAACACGCATGCCTAAGACACTTAGGACAATTTTAAACATAATAAACTATTGCTGAAAATAAAACCTGAATATGTTATAATGATTTCAAAACCATTTATTTGGAATCCAGAAGAAAACAAATATAAAAATAGATTTAGATTCCTGAAGAATAGGAAACATGTTTTAAAATATAAGAAATGAGTTAACAATAAGTGGATTTCCACAATGAAGCAAACACTTGTCTGACTAGAAGACAAACAATCCTAGTTGACCCGTTAGTTCCTCATTCTGAATTCAAAAGAGAGAAGTTAAATAGAAGAGTGATTTTTCAACCATGCTATGGTTGCTGTGGCAACCAACCACAACATATAGGTAAAGAACAACACAAGAAATGACTTTGGGATCTTTCAACTGAAATGAATCATGTGGGGAGGGGAAGGGCGCGGTGGAGGAATGTCATGATGAAGTAAGAACAAGTGTTTCCATTCAAGAAACCAACAATGTGTGAAGAACTGTGTGAAGGCACAAAAATGAAAATGATACAACTCTAACTTACAGTTATTCATGGTCTAATGGAGGATTGCAATGAACACAATAAAAGACACTTAGGGGCAGGGGAGTGTGAAATAAAAACAAAACAACTTAGGAAAAAGTTAATGAAGAAGAAAGATTTGGGCTGGTTCTTAAATGATAAGTAGAATATTAACATCTATTGAGGAAGAAGGTAGACATGGGAAGTAGACACTTCAGGCACAGGAGAAAGTGTGAAGAACTCACCCGTATTGTCTTAATTTTTTCCCTCGCTGTCATTACTTAAACAACAATATTATAATACTTTGTTTTCATGCAGAGTTCCTCCTTTGGAAAATTCGCTTGTATGAGGGCCAGTGGGGGGTAATAAGTTCTGTATCTGCATGTTCAGCAACTTGCTCAATACTTGGAGCTTGGTAAATGCTCGATACATTAGTGTTGCCTGATCAAAGGTACGAATGAGAGAAGCCAAGACCCAAAAGGCATGGAGTTGAGGGCTCATAGAGTGTATAAGTGCTGATGAGTATTTGGAATAGAAGACACTGAGTGGTGGGTTGTAGAATGGAAAGGGAAAGTAGATGTAATGATACAAATAGCTTAACTGAGATACAAGGTTTGAAGTGTTAGTAGTATCTACTGAAGTTTTTGCATTCTAGATAAAGTTGGTATAAAACATATACTTTGCTATGAAGTCTTAGAAGAGTTGATAAACTAGTCCTTCCAATGAACAGAACTAAGTCATTCAATGATTGCACAACAAATATTTACAAAGTCCCTCCTATGGTCCAGGCACTGGGTTAGGAGCTGGGTATACTTGCCAGAAAAGAACACAAATGGTGCTTATTCTATGGAATTTTTACTATGTAATCAATTTCTAAGTACAATATAATTGTCTCAGTTTTATGCTGTGTGCTTGCTATTCAAGGGAAAGAGAAAGAGAAAGGAAAAGAGGGGTCACTACTTAGAACAGAAAAAAGAGAAATACAATCACTAGAATAACAAAGACAAGATACGAATGAAGTGCTATCGAAGCAGAGTAGGTGATTTTTATGGCCTGAAGTGGCTTCAAGACTTCATAGCTATTTGAATTTGGCTTTGTCTTTAAATCATGAATCTCGAGTCCTTAGAGGCCCTAAACCTTATGTCAAATGTTATATGTCTATGCATACATGTGCACATACAGAATTATATGTGTATAGCTCTGAAAGAAAATATGATACATACTCTCTCACACTAGAGGTTGAAAATCCAATCACTGTATAGGAAGTATAGGGAAAGAAAAGAGATAGAGAACCAATCTAAGCTGTCAAATCAAATAGAAGCAGGCATTTAAAAAATAAGGCCTACTACACAGACCTTGAACTAACTTCTCAACAATATCTCTATGCCAACAAGAAGGCCCAGCCTGGCATGTTTTCAGAAATGTTCTTTCCTGATACCACCTAGTCTGGAAAAGCAAATATTTTTCTATTTTCCAAGAGATAGCTATAAAAAATGTTTGACCAATTCTGATTAATTTCACAATAAAAATGAAAAGTGGAGGTAATATATCAATTTTAATAATCAGTATGGGTACAAAGAAAACTAGCTTTGTGGAAAGTTACATCCAGAATGGTATCTATTCTGATAAATAGCAGGTGAGAGTATTTCAGCAGCTGTCGTAAATGTAATCTATAAACCATCCAATAAAATGGTTCCTTTGATCCTCGGTGAGAAGAGAAAATTGTCTATGCTTTTATAAGCATCTCTAAGAGATAAAGTTTTAAATATCAAACTATAATGAAGAGAATTAATACAGTAAAACGAAAGTTAGGATGGCTTGCCAAAGACCCTAAATTAATCTCATTAGTAACAAAAGGATTGCATTACCTGTGTCTGTACTTCTATATGTTTGGAGGTTCCTATGTCAATAAACAGGCAGTCTCCCATTTATACACATAGTATATTTCAGAATTTGTTTTACA